CGAAAAGACGCGCCGCGCGGCGGAGATTCGCGAAGAGGTGGACCGAACCAACCGCGAGAGACGCGAAGACGCGGAGCGACGCGAGCGCGCGCGCGCGCGCGAGGAACGCCGCGCCGCTCTCGAGGCGGCGCACGACACGCACGGCGGCGTCACCGCCGCCGAGGCTGCCGCCGCGCACGCGCTGCCGTCCGTGCGCGACCCGCCGCCTCGCGTCGCGCCGCCGCCGCCGCGGCCCTCCGCCGCCGCCGCCGCCGCCGCGGGCGGGTCCCGCGAGACGTCGCACGACGACGGAAGAGTCGAGCGCGTCCTTCCCGGCGGCCGAAGAGTCGTGCACTTCACGAACGGGACGCTGAAGGACATCTCGCCGTCCATGGAGGGGCCGATATCCACGGTGTACTTTACGAACGGCGACGTCAAGCGATCGCACCCGGGGGGACGCGTGGAGTACTACTACAAAGAGGTGGACACCTGGCACACGACGCACCCGGGCGGCGCGGAGGTGTACCACTTCCCGTCCGGGCAGACGGAGGCGCACGGGTTGGACGGGTACAAGGAGATCTTATTCCCGGACGGGTTGCTTCGGAGGGTGTACCCGGACGGGCGGGAGGAGGACCAGCCGACGCGGTGACGAGGGCTGGCGGAGTTATAATCTGCTGCTTGAGAAAATTATAAGCATGTGTATACGAGCGAAATCGACGTCCTATCCGCTCCGCTCGTCACACGACTCGCGCGGCGAGAGGATGACATCGGCGCTGGCGGGGTGCGTCGTCGGGCAATCGCGCGCGATCCGTGAGCCGACCGCATCGCGCGTCCGCGCCGATCGAGGGCGTCGCCGCGCCGCCGCCGCGAGACCTCATCCCGCGACCGCGACGCGTCGAAGAAGAATGTCGACGACGCGTCTCGACGCCGTCACCGGCGGCCCCGCGCTGACGGACGACGAGGCGACCGCGCTTCGACACGAGGCCATCTCGTACGCGGCGCAACACGGTCTCCTCGTCGCGACGGAGTCCTCCGAGTCCGGCGCGACGATGCCGTCGACGTTCACGCACGCCCCGATCGCGCTCCTGCCGACGCCCTTCCCCGCGGACGTGTTCGCGCTCGCGACGCGCGTCGCGCCGCTGTTCGCGTCCGTCTCCGACGCGGTGTCGCGCGACGACGCGTTCCTGCGCGAGACGCTCGCGGGGGTCATCCGCGCGGACGACTTCACGCGCAGGGTGTGGGACATCTACGAGCGGTGCGGCGGACAGGAGGGCAGGCATCCGATGGAGCTGGGGGTGCTGCGGACAGACTACATGCTCGACGCGCCGTCGGGGCTGCCGCTGCAGGTGGAGGTGAACACGGTGTCGACGTCGTTCATGGCGCTGTCCACGCGCGTGTCGCAGATGCACCGGCGCGCGATCGAGTGGCTCGGCGCGGAGCGCGCGTACGCGGAGGGCGCGGGGTCCGACGCGGGATCCGCGTCCGCGGAGGACGTGGCGTCGGCGCTCGCGAGACGACTGCCGACCAACAGTGCGCTCGAGCTCGCCGCGGAGACGCTCCACGCGGGCTGGCGCGCGATGAACGACGACGACGCGCGCGTGTTGATGGTCGTCCAGCCGTGCGAGCGGAACGTGTTCGATCAGAGGATGATCGAGGCGGCGCTGTGGGAGCGTCACGGCGTGAAGACGATTCGCGCGACGCTGCGAGAGATCGCGTCCGACGCCGTCGTCGCCGAGGACGACGCGAAGACGCTGACGTACCGCGGCGCGCGGGTGAGCGTCGTGTACTACCGCGCAGGGTACGCGCCGACGGACTACCCGAGCGAGGCGGAGTGGGACGCGCGCTTGTTGCTGGAGCGGTCCGGCGCGGTGAAGTCGCCGTCGGCGGCGATGCATCTCGCGGGGACGAAAAAAGTGCAGCAGACGCTCGCTTCCCCTGGAGGATTAGAGCGGTTCGTCGAGTGCGAAGAGGACGTTCGCGCGATGCGGAGCGTGTTCGCGGGTCTGTACGCGCTGGACGGCGAGGACGCCGTGGCGGCGGTGGAGCTGGGATTAAACGCCCCGGAGTCGTACGTTTTAAAACCCCAACGCGAAGGCGGCGGGAACAACCTCTACGGCGAAGCGCTCAGGGCGCAGCTCGCGAAGTTCACCCCGGACGCGCCGATCGGCTCGGACGGCGACCTGTCGTCGTTCATCCTCATGCAGCGCATACTGCCTCCGGTGAACCGGACGCTGTGCTTGCGAAACGGCGAGATGCAGGAGCTCGAGACGTTGTCCGAGCTCGGGATTTACGGCGGGTACCTTCGCGTGGGCGAGGACGTCGCGATGAACGTCGTCGGCGGGCATCTGCTTCGGACGAAAGCCGCGAGCAGCGACGAGGGCGGCGTCGCCGCGGGGTACGCGGTCCTGGACTCGCCGTGTTTGACGTTCACGTGAATATATTATGTTCAATTTCAGAATAATACATCGTTATTTAGAGGACACGTTTTTCGTCGTTGTCTGACGAGTACTGCACACGACAACACTTCCTCGGCCGCCCGCTCGCGAGGCGACCCGATCACTCATGATGTATACACCGCCCGTGTATATATATACAGGGTTCATATAGTTCAATCGTGAATAAGTTGTTACCGGGTTTAGGGCTCCTGGTCAAGTTCACCGAGTTATCAGCGGCGGCGGCGACGACGCCTTCTGAAACGCCTTGTCAAATTCGGCGTTTGCTGCGTCCAACTTGTCCAAGTCTGCCGCGGCGGCAGCGGGGAGTTCAGTCTTGCTGGGATGCTTCTTATCAGCGGTGTCGGCTGCGTCGGCGTCGGCGGCGGCGTCGGCGGTGACGGCGGTGTCGGCTGCGGCGTCGGCGGCGTCGTCGGCGTCGTCGTCATCGGAGTGACCCTCGTGCTTCTCCACGAGCTCGACGAACGCGTCTAAATCCGAGATGCCGTGGTGCGACTGGACGTACGCGGGGAGCTCGGAGACCTCGTTCGTGGCGAGGAACTTGCGAATATCCGCCGGGACGCCATGCGAGAGGACGAACGCCTTTTGCTCCGCCGGGTCGGTCAGGCCCTCCATCGTGAGAAACGTCTGCATTTGCTTCGCGAGCGTCGCGGCGTTCGCGGGAGCCGTCGCGGCGGTCGCGGGAGCCGTCGCGGCGGTCGCGGGAGCCGTCGCGGCGGTCGCGGGAGCCGTCGCGGCGGTCGCGTTCGCGGCGGCGTGCGCGGTATCCACGTCGTCGTCCACGCCGTCCAAAAGGGAATCCAACGAGTCCACGGATGCGTTCTCGGGCGGCTTCTCCTCCGCGGCGGCACCCGCGGTATCCGCGGCGTCGGTCACATTCGCGGCGGCACCCGCGGTATCCGCAGCGTCGGTCACATTCGCGGCGGCGTCCACGGCGTCGATAGATGTATCCATCGAGTGCATCGAGTCCATCGAGTCCATCGAGTCCATCGAGTCCATCGAGTCCATCGAGTCCATCGAGTGCATCGAGTCCATCGAGTCCATCGAGTCCATCGAGTCCATCGAGTGCATCGAGTCCATCGAGTCCATCGAGTCCATCGAGTCCATCGAGTGCATCGAGTCCATCGAGTCCATCGAGTCCATCGAGTCCATCGAGTCCATCGAGTCCATCGAGTGCGCCTCCTCCTTGGCGGGAGGCTCCGCGTAATCCTCCTCCTTGGCGGGAGGCTCCGCGTAATCCTCCTCCTTGGCGGGAGGCTCCGCGTGCGCCTCCTCCTCCTTGGCGGGAGGCTCCGCGTGCGCCTCCTCCTCCTTGGCGGGAGGCTCCGCGGGCTCCTCCTCCTCCTTGGCGGGAGGCTCCGCGGGCTCCTCCTCCTCCTTGGCGGGAGGCTCCGCGGGCTCCTCCTCATCCTTGTGCTCGTGAAGGTGATCGTACGACGTCGGGCACGGGTCGTTCCCGACGTTGCTCCAGCACGCGGCGCCTTCGCCGTCCTCGTCCTCCCACTTGCACGCGGCGAACTCCACGGCGGCGCACGCGCCGGCTTGTTTGATCGCATGGCACTTCGCGTGGCAGCCTTCGTCCGCGGAGGCCGGGGGAGAGCTTTCGTGGTCTGGCGCGGCGTCCATCGCAGAGTCGTGCATGGAGTCCTGCATGGAATCCTGGATGGAGTCGTGCATGGAGTCCTGGATGGAGTCGTGCATGGTGTCGTGCATGGAGTCCTGCATGGAGTCATGCATGGAGTCGTGCATAGAGTCGTGCATGGAGTCGTGCATGGAGTCGTGCATGGAGTCCTGCATGGAGTCATGCATGGTGTCGTGCATGGAGTCGTGCATGGAGTCCTGCATGGAGTCCTGCATGGAGTCCTGCATGGTGTCGTGCATGGAGTCCTGCATTGTGTCGTGCATGGAGTCCTGCATGGAGTCGTGCATGGAGTCGTGCATGGAGTCGTGCATGGAGTCATGCATGGAGTCATGCATGGAGTCATGCATGGTGTCGTGCATGGAGTCGTGCATGGAGTCCTGCATGGAGTGGTCATCGTGGCACGTTTGGTGCCCGCTCGACTCCCACGTCGCCTCCATCTCCTTCAGTTCCTTTTCGACGTCGAAGTTGTGGTACTCGTGGTGGTTCGCCATCCAGTCCCCGAGCGTCTTGATCTTGGTCGCGTTCTTGTCGAGGTAATCGACGACGTCTTGCGGTATGCCGCAGTTCTTGATGAACCCGTTGCCGTCGGTGATGTTCCCCGCGACCTCGAGCGCTTTCCCGAATCCTCGCGGGAGCTCGGTCTGATCGTACACGAGAGTCATCGGGTGGTCATCGGGCGCGGGCGCGGGCGCGGCGGCGGCGGCGGCGGTGGCGGCATCCTCCGCGGGCGCCGGCGCGGGCGCCGCGGAGGTCATCGGGATCCCGTGCGCCTCGAGCGTCTTCTCCTCGCCGTGCTCGATCTTGTCGATGATGTTGGCCGCAAACGTCGCGTTCGTGATGCCCTTCGCGCGAAGCCGCGCCCTGACGCGCTCGGCGATCGGATCCGCGTCCACGACGGTCCCGGGCACGGGCGCCGTCGCGTTCGCGTCGGCGGCGGTATCGACGGCGCGCGCGTCCGCGGAGCTGTTGAGGAGGTTCGCGTCCGCGTTCAGGCTCTTCTCGATCGAGGTCAGCGTGGATCGCACGCCGCCGTCGCCGCCGGGGAAGGGCGCCGTCGCGTTCGCGTCGGCGGCGGGGAAGGGCGCCGTCGCGTTCGCGTCGCCGCCGGGGGGACCCGTCGCGCCCGGCTCTCCGTGCTCCGCGGCGAATTTCTCCGCGAACGCGCGGCCGCCGTCGGTGATGCCGCGCTTCTCCAAGATGTTCTCGAGCGAAGACGCCTCGCGTTCGCGCAAGAACTTCTGCAGCGCAGCCTTCCCTTCGTCGTCGAGCGCGTCCGGGACTTCGGAGATGTCGTGCGACTCCAGAAACTCCCGCGGGTTGACGCCGTGGTTGTGCATGAAACCGATGACGTCCTTCGCGCCGGTGACTCTGCCGTGGGCGCGCGCGGCGGGAGCCGTCGTCGCGGCGTCGGTCGCGGCGGGAGCTGTCGTCGCGGCGTCGGTCGCGGCGGGAGCTGTCGTCGCGGCGTCGGTCGCGGCGGGAGCCGTCGTCGCGGCGTCGGTCGCGGCGGGAGCCGTCGTCGCGGAAGAGTCCTTCTCGAACCAGTACTCGTGAGCGTGATCCGTCGACGGCGGCGCGTGAACCGCCGTCGGCGTCTGCGTCACGGCGCCGCCGTGGTGGCCGCCGCGGCGGCCGCCGCGGCGCGCGCGGTGGGATCCGCCGTGGGAGTCGCCGTGGGAGCCGCCGTGATGGTGATGATGGAAAATTCTCACTCCGTCGACCCCTTTAGAGTTTCTCCCGAGGGCCGCGCTCGCGTCCTTCGGGAACGCGCTCGAGCCCGCGTACGCGGCGACGGCGAGGACGCATCCGCCGCCGATCACGCCCGCGATCGCACGGTGCGGCGCGCTCGACCGCGACCTGCGCGCGGGCGCGTCGCGCCCGCCGTGAAGCAGAGGCTCGTTCTCGAGCCGCGCGGTCGCCATGGTGTGGTGTTACAACGACGACGATTTCGCCGCCGCGCGCTTCGATCCTCGGTGCGCCGCGTTCGCCGCGCGAGATTCCGTCGGGCTCGTCGTTCGAACGCGCGCGATCGAGCGGGGGACGACGCGGCGGCGGCGCGGTGCGCGTGAACCCGCGACGCGTGCGACGACGAAGTTCGCGCGGTGCGGCGACGACGCGCGCGCGAGGGGTCGCGTTCGAACGCCCCGATTGAGGTCTCTTGTCGCGCGCTCGCGGTCGGCGAGATTTTTCGCGTAGTACGTACGTTTTCGTCCCTCGCAGGGTGCTCGCCGTACGAACGAGCCTCGCGGTCGATCACCAATCAGCGCCTCGAAAGCGCGCACTCAACCGACGTCATCATCGGCAGCAGTCGAAATATCGAGCGGAGAAGCGCGACGGACGTAAACAGCGAAGAATCCTCCGCGTCGCGCCGCCAGTTGAAGACGCGCGCGGAGCGGCGTCGACGATCTGCACACGTCCGCGAACGCGCGCGAAGAGTTCTTTGCGACGCACGCGTACGCATTCACCTCGAGCGAGCGGTTTCCTGCGCTCGAAGGACGCGCGCGGCGGTCGCATCCGGCGCGAGGTGGACGCGCGACGAGAGTTCGTTGGCCACCTTCGGCACGCGAGGTAGACGTCGAACGCGTCTCGCGTCCGTCGCGCGCGCGTGAGAAACGACGCGCGCGATGTCCGCCGCGGCGTGCACCGCGCACGCTGCGGTCGCGTCGCGCATAACTTCCGGGATGCGCGCGTCGTCCGGGCGTTCGAGCGATCGCGTCCGCGCGGACGGCGCGCGCACCGGGCGCGTCGCCGCACGGGAAAAAAACCATATCCGCTTCGCGAGGCGAGGGGTGCGATGCCACGCCCTCGGGCGGTCGCCGTCGCCGTCGCGGAACGCCGGGGATAAGGCGCCGATCAAGACGATCGGGGCGGAGGGTAGAGGCAAGGGCGTCGCTCCGAAGGCGGCGAACTCCGAGCTAGGTGCGTCGAGCGTCCCCGCGTGCTGGCGCCCCGCGTCGCGCGACGGAATCGAATCGCCCCTTCTTCGGCGGCGGCTTCGCGACGCGCCACTCATTTTCTTTCGCGCGCCTCCTCCTCCTCTTACTCCGCCGCCGCGCGCGCGCGATCGCAGCCGCGCGCGCGCCCTGACGGAGTAAGAGGAGGAGGAGGCGCGCGAAAGAAAATGAGTGGCGCGTCGCGA